TTCAGAATACCTTCCATCTCCTCCTCCAATACGCACCTTCGAATTACCCCGTCGGCCCCAATTCGAAAAAGGCGAGGGTCATCCCAGAAGTAAGCACAGAGGTCCGAGAAGAACTTATTTCTCTCATGTTTAGTCATTCCCTTGTGTAGCTGCTTTCCAGCCAGATAGTTGGCGAAGTCGGCAAACCATGGGGCGACACTCTCTACAGCGGCGAGGGCGAGTAGACGTTCATCAGGTGAAGTGTCATTTATCTCTCTCGGATGAGTGCTACTCCCCGGTCCTTCGAGCCGCGAGAAGTGGCCAGCTGCAAGGTTTTTGGCCCCCTTTTTGTCCTTGATCTCCACATCGAATTCTTGAAGCAGCAGGATCCATCGAATCAGTTGGGGCTTGGCATCCGCCTTGCTCATCAAGAAGCGGATGGCAGAGTGGTCTGTGTAGACAACAACCTTGGAGAGAACCAGATAAGACCTGAATTTATCGAAAGCAAAGATTACTGCTAGTAGCTCTTTCTCCATGGTTGTGTAATTTTCCTGAGCATCATTTAGTGTCTTTGAGGCGTAACAAATAGGGTGAAAGTGTCTACCCCTCCTTGGCCCAAAACTGCTCCCACTGCATAATCACTAGCATCACACATGAGCTCGAAAGGAAGGTCCCAATCTGGTGAGACCATTATGGGGGCATTGGCGAGCTTCTCTTTAAGGATGTTGAAAGCATCAAAGCATTCATTCGTGAAGAGGAATGAGGCATCCTTTTCGTGAACTTTCGTCTGTTGTCTTAATCTGTGCCTTTTTAGCGACACCTTACACTTTTGCCCTAATTACCTTATTTCACCTAAACGTCCCATTTAATGTATAAACCCTATTCATAATGATTATGAAGCAATCCGTGAGTATAATGCTATAATTTATGACTCAATTTATGACTTCCACTCTACAATAACATGCATTCTAATTAAAACTAGGCAAAACTATAAAGATTTTTTTTTATTTTGAGTTGAAATTAATGAAATTGGTCATCCTATTATCATTGTCATATCATGATGGTATGATATGACACTTATCAAACTATAACAGACACATGTTTTGAAGAGTTAATTGTTTTCTTTGCTCAAACTGTAACGAAATGGATATCATTGTGTAGATCATCATTAATGTATTCTTTCTATGCAAAATTATTAAAATTCCGAGTTAAAATGAATGCTATAAGATTTTATTAAGAAAAATAGGGATTAGAAAAAGTAGCCATTGATTGGTCAGCTGTTCTTCTTTCTCGTCTAATTTTTGTGTCAAACTTTCGGAACAAAAGGCATGCGTAGGGAATGAGCACTTCTACTATGCTATATAGTATTGGTGCTTTAATGTACAACTTAAAGTTGTACCATAACATTAAATGTATAAGTTTAGGTTGTACCATAAAGCAATTTGTACCATTATGTTATGGTACAACTTTACAACTTGAAGTTGTACCATCACATAAAAGTACAAGTTCAAGTTGTACCATAAAAGAATTTGTACAAAAAGTATAGGTACAATCTGAAGTTGTACCATAACGTAAATGTACAATTTTAAGTTGTACCATAAAGGCAAAATCCTATAGCACCAATACTATATAGCATTGTAAAATTTCTCCGTAGGGAATACCACTCCGTCCCTCTAGATTTTTTTGTTGCAAATTAATCTAGACCATTAGATGGGGAATTAGATGGATGGGTAATGGTATGGTTTTGTATGTACCCTATCCCTTTCCTTAAAAAAATTCACTTTTTTAATACTTATTATTTCAAATTTCAACCTTCCACATATACAAAATTAAACTACCTTTGACGAAATTCTTCTCCTATTTTATAGGAATGTGGTTATAATCTCGTCATGTAAATAATAAAAAAATGGGAAGGGATAGGGTATACAAAACCACTACAAAACCCAATTATCTACCCTTCATCCCATTCCCATCTAATGGCACTGATTAATTCGAAGAAAAAGAAGGGGAACAGATTGGTAAATCCGCCAACCGTTTTTTTTTTTTTTTTTTGCTTCTGACAGCCTGACACAGATCCTGAGAATAGAGAAGATATTATTCCTAATTTTCTATTTTTCTTAATCGGATCCTATAGAACTCTTTTAACTTGAAATTCAAATATTTTGCCTAGAAAGAATGTATTAATTATACGAACAAGGGCTTTGCATAGTTGTTAAACACCTAGCCTAGAACTTGGAGCTCCTAGGTTCGAATCTCTGCAGTAGTAGTACCTTAATCACAAAAAAGTAAACCAATATCACTCTTGTAAAAAAAATTGATCTAGACATTAATATTCATTTTGATATATTTTGACCAAAGAAAAAATGACATCTTCAAAATATGTATCAGTTATAGTATTATGACAGTGATATATATGATGACCCATCTTCTTCATTTCAACTCAAGATTAAGAACAATTTGTATAGAAATTAAGATCGCATTTATTAAGATCCATATAGCGATATCCACTTTGTTATATTTTATCAATCAACATCATCGTAGAAATTTAGCCAACAAGGAGAATGTTGTGTAGACTTGGTAAGCTCATGGTGAAAGTAATCCAATATAAATTGTAGGGAAAGACAACACGAGGCTTCAGAACGAAAACTGTTGTACGCAGCGGCAGATCTAGGGCCGTCCCTGGGCCACGACCCAACCCTCCCCGGATTCGGTACTAGTATAGCGCTTGTAAATTTTTGATTTTAGGTATTCGTTTATGTTCTCATTGGGTTAACGTCCAGTTTTTTCTGCCTCTTTTCAAATGTGTTACAGTGCTCTATCCTATCTGGATTCGTCGCTGGTTGTACGACGATGCTAATTTCACTAAATCCCAATGGACATGGAAGTACAGAAACCATTATTAAATGCAGGCGCGCGTTTGTATACACATAGTCGTAATAGTAGTGGTTTTAGCACACACTTGCGGGCTGGAAGGAGATTCGCGAGGCTGGTCATCAAATAGATTCTGGACACTGGTTGAAAGGAATCCATATATGCAGGCAATTTGGTGGGCGCATGCAACCGAAACCCACCCGATTATATACATTTTCGGTTTTTTGGGTCGGGTTCGTTTCGGGTTTTGAATTTTTCGGTTTCGGTTTTGCTTACCGTTTTTTCGGGTTCCGAATAAAAACCTTCATTGAATAGAACTCAGTCCGTATTTTTAGGCGTTCGGACTTTCGGGTTTCGGTTTATCTTTAAACGAACCCGAACCCGATAAAGAATTTTCGAGTTTCGGATAACCAGAACCCGCAAGTCCTTATCGGGTTCGGGTTCGAGTTCGGTTTTAGTGATTTTCGATTTCGGGTTTTCAAATTTTTTCGGGTTTCAATTTAGGTAACCGAACCAGACCCGAACCGACACCCCTAGTTTTAGCACACACTTGCGGGCTGGAAGGAGATTCGCGAGTCTGGTCATCATATGGATACTGGACACTGGTTGAACGGAATTAATGGAACGGAATCCATGCAGGCAACTTGGTGGGCGCATGCAATATATTGCACTGGAAGGAATCCATGCAGCCCACCGAAAGCCATCTATCTATCTATCGATCTCCTTCAAGGCACTTGGAAGGGAATTTGATTTTGGGAATCCATTGTGAAATATTTGACTGCTGCATTCTCTGCCTTTTATCAATTCATTAGTACCCCAGTCTCAGCCCATGATCAGTATCTCTTATATTCCTTTCCTGCCTTTCTAAAATTTCATATCTGGCACTTATATTATGGGACTATGCACATCATAGAGTCCAGGCATACATGTCCAAAAAGAGTAGCCGGACCAGAAAAATTAAAAGCAGTGGCGGCGGATGCAAAACACAGTAGAGTATTGTGTCGCATTTGAATAGAATATTGGATAGGGTAAATAAAAATATACAATAACTACCAATTGTACAAGAAGATCATTTTGTTTAGCAAATTCATCAATAATAGAATCTCCATTCATGCCAATATATAACATACTCTCTCAAAGAAAATGGCTAAGCAATCAACCACAAATTTATCGTTTATTTTGTTGCGCAAATCAGTTTTCACATTTACCATTGCTGAAAATGTTATCTCTGTAGTAGCCGCTGAAACCGGCAAAGCCAACAATAGACAGCTCAACCGGAAAATTAATTTGTATTGTGTGTCCATCACTGTTTTCGTCGGGTTCTCTAGTAATTTTGCAAGGGAAGAAACTTCATTTTCCTCACATGAGTAGCGTAATATTGTAGCTCATTCTCCAAAGAATGCATCACATAGCCTTTAAAGGCTCGAGGCTAAACTCTTCAGCAAGTTCATAAATATTTTCTTCATCAAAATTCCAAAAAGAACGATCAGGATCTAGTGCACCATTTAACTGAAGCAATCTAAATGATTGCTCAACAAGTTTGTAAATATTTTCTAGCTATATATGATGATAACTACGGCATATTTTCTAGCTATATATGATCATGTGACATGAATACCTGTTGGCAAGGTAGTCACAACCATAGTTAGGAAAGTACGGTACATGAAAGTTACATATAAAATATCTACGAGTATTTTACTGTCTCTAAACTAATGATATATTTAATAGTCACAAATATACAAATAATAGTAAATTAACAATTTAATTCATTAAATACGAATATTAAACGCGTTATACAGGTTTATACGTGTTTAATATGGGAGTCATCAAATAAACGGGATAAAAGGAATGTCTTGACAATAATACGAATACGGAAGTTTTAAACGGATAAATACAGGGACATATACGCGTATTAAATGTAGTATTTACTGACTATTGTCACAACTACGAAAGATGATGATAACTACATTACATTTTATATACAAGGTAAAAGTTATGATTAGTGAGAATCAATATTAGTTAATAATGGAGCAATTTATAGCACGATCCATTGATCTTGTAGCTATATATATATATATATATATATATATATACTAACCAGAGAAGTCTCCTAACATATATAAGATGGGAGTACTATGGCCATGCATAACCTAGTGCCAGTATATCATATGTTTGCAGTCTTGGCTTTGCTAGGGCCAAGTTGTTCGGTCCATGGAAGCACGCGTTAGTCAGCATCACTTTTTTACAAATTTGGGCATCTCCCTCACTCAAATCTCTCCCCTCCTCCTTTTGAATGTTCTCTCTTCTCTATATTCAGCACCAAGACACTGCAGAGAGTAAGAGACAGACAGACACCCTTCTCCCGAATCCTTATAAATACTCCTCCATACGGAGACTCCGAAAGTTCAAACCACAAACACATCTCAGAAACACTAAAAAAAATAGACAAAAATATAAGAAGAAGATCAGTCAGTCCCCTTCCCTCAAGAAGAAGAAGAAGAGGAAGGAGATGGAGAAGGTGATGGGTTTGGCATCCGATAATGGGCTGGTGATCTTCAGCAAGAGCTCTTGTTGCATGTGCTATGCCGTGAGCATGTTGTTCCAAGGGATCGGGGTGAAGCCAGTGATGTACGATATCGACCAGGACCCACAAGGCAGGGAGATGGAGAAAGCCCTCATGAAGCTCGCCGGCACCACCGCCGGCCCAGTCCCCGCGGTCTTCATCGGCGGCAAGTTCATGGGCTCCACCAACGAGATCATGTCCGCACACCTCAGTGGCCAACTCCTCCAGATGCTCAAGCCTTACCACTCTTTGTCTTAATATCATCTATTTCATTTTCATCATCATTTACTAGTTAATTAGGGGAGGGATTCCGAATTAATTAGTTTCTGCTCTATAGAAATAAGGATTTACTTAATTAGCCTTGTCGACAAAGTTATTGGTATTTGGTACGTACGTAGTTTCTAGTAGTCTAGAGCTTTGCACTTTCCTGGTCCTAATATACGATCCTACAAATGTCAGCTACTTAATTATTATGTTTGTCGACAAAGATAATTTCCACCGCTAATCAATGATTAATTAGCTTGTATTATTTACTTGCCGGGTTCCTACATCTTAATTAATGAAATATTTTATGTTTAAATGTACCCGAATTAGTTAGTTCCTTAAAGTTCAACAGATCGACCGCACGTACGTACTGTTTCATTTGAGAAGCAAAAGCAGACAAAAAAAAAAATACAAAAAGAAAAAAGACAAAACAATGGACAAGCTATATTCAAGATGTTTATGCCAAGTCCCTAGCGTGTATTGCATTGCTCCACGTGCATGCAAAGAAGAAACGGCAGAAAATTTTGGAAGAAAAAAAATAAAACAATCATGAGCAATAGAATTACTTTAGCATAAAAAGAATAAAGAAATAAAGCAAGAAAGTCACTTGGAACATTATTTTTTCAAGAACATTTGTTTGAACTTTTAGGGTGTCCATTTCTTTTGTTACCTTCTCTGGTGCGGAAGGAATTAGATGTACTGATTCTTCTCTCCTTTATGCATTGTTTTTAGATAAGGAAAGCATTGCATTCCCCTCCCCTTTTTTCACTTCCTCTCCTTTTAAATTTATGTGGTGCTGAATTTATTCGTCTACTTGCCCAAATGTTTGTGTGTGTGGGAGTAACACTATACTCCCATCAACATGACTACTCTCCATCAATCTCCCTTCTCCCATATCGAATCTTTTTCCATCCATTATATGATCTATGGTTTATTTTGTAGATATGCTCATACAAAATAAATACGAGCACAGTTGTGCTTCTTCAAACCAAAGTCCGCAGCTCAACCTAAATTGAACAAATTTAATGCGAAAACAGACCAAAGGTGCAATTTCTCACTTGAGAAGAGACTCGATTGGTTGTGATCGAAGCTCAGCCACAATTGATGCTTTTTCAATCGATATATACGAAGCTGGAACTCAACAAACAATGCAAGGTTTGGGTAACAAGTCACAAATTCATTCAACTAAAAGCTGCCTTCTTACACGAGGCTTCCAAGCCTTAAAATAAACAAAGCACAACCTAATTCGACTTCTAAACAAACAAGGAATCAAATCTATCTCTACTCTAACAAGGAAACTGAAATCCAAACTCAAAAAGGAAATAAAACTCGATTGCTTCAACCTCAAGATTCTGCCTTCCTGCGCAAGCAATCCATTCCAGCCTTTCTAGCCACTTTGAGGCTCCTATTGGAGGCCTTCCATAGAGATTCGATCCAAACAGGCTTCAATCGTTTCTTCTTCCGGTCTCGAACTTAAAGTTCCAGCTCCCTTATTCCATCGAAAATGCTCCATCTGCTTCGAATAAGCTTCCAAAGGTGGCAACTCAAACTGATTCCAGACTTAGCAAAAATCAAGCAGATTTCCAGTTTCAACATAGCATTTGAGGCATCGAGAAAGTGGCTTCAATGGCTCGTTCTGGCTCAACAAGGACTTCAATCATGTAGAAAAACACTTAAACTCAAATCCCAACCCTTCCCTTATATTTCCATCAACTAAGATGTAAGATATAAAGCTGTAAAGAAAGCACCATGAAACATACCAAAAACTTACCAAATTCGACCCTTCTTCCTTCCAACATGGGTTGATTCTTTGACATGCAATGGATTTGAGGGTAAGGGTTTGATTTGGGATCATATCTGCCTCCCTTCTTTAAAAAGCTTTGCCCTCAAAGCTGGTGCACTCCTGCATTCGAAAGCACCGTTAAATTCCACCAAAAAAGGATCGCAAAAACAATGCCATGTGACCGGAAAATCGAACTCTAGCGAGCTCCTCAAATCGGCGATTTTGCGAATTTTGTTGTTCCTCAGATTGCTCTCCTGATTCACGTTCGACATACCTCCAGGAATCTCCTCCATACCATCATAGCACCCGGAACCGCGTGGCCTCCCCAAATTCGTCGTTTGAAAGTTTTCCATCGTCAGAAAATTTGAATTTTTTAGAATCCGGCGAGGTGAACCTAGAATCAGGCGACTCAAATCAAAATCCGTCTCAGACATTCTCGAACCGATTTCTTTGCTTCTACACCATCCTTGGGACTCCAGAAAGGGAACCCAAGTGTCCAATTGCATCATTTTGACATCAATATCAAGAACCCATTCGAGGTTCTTTCAGTCGACACTTTGCATATTTCGGAGCCAAATGGTCGAATTGTGAGTTTCCAATTTAAAATTCCTCATCCCAATTTGACTGCTCCTATACGTTCCTAGGAGGGGAACAATCATATTGGCGTAGTCAATTTGATTCGGATCATTTCTCAGCTTCCAACCCAAACGACTCTCTTTCCTCCCCTAACCCGTCGGCGATGGAAGACAGACTGGTTCTATTTTGATTGCTCGAGAATTCGTCAGTTACTCTTACTTCTCGATCTCGTAGTGAGGCCATCTATTGTTGATCGGATCGGACCTCCGACGGGACAATGGTTTGAGTAATACGCGCTTACCATTGTGCTTAAATCGGTAGCAATTGGAACCAACGTCATGTGTGACAGCTCGCTTGTATTGCCAATGTCTTTCAAGCAGTAGGCAGGCAGCTTTCATCGGCGCAATGTCGCACAAGAGCTCATCCTTGTACGAACCGATTTCAAAATTGACTCGAGCTCTTCGTGTAACCTTAATTGTGCCATAATCACTGAGGCAATGAAGGTTGTATGGCTCAGGGTGCTTAATGTTTTCCAGTCCCAATTTCTTGAGAGCGTCTATGTTGATTACATTTGTGCAGCTACCTTTGTCAACGACCATTGATGAGGCTCGTGTGAAACAGGTTAGTTCGCTGGTCATCGCTCGTCTCGCCTTCCGTTGTCAAAGCCCCCAAATTCATTCTTGAAAGAAAAGGTCCATGCACCGCTTCAATCTCGTCATCTGCTTCCACTTCCGACGAGTCATTGTGCACGACGAGACCTCTGATTTCGTCATCTGAGATGTACTCTCCTTCACGTAGTATCAACGACTTAAGATTAGGACATTGATTGGCCTTGTGGCCTCGCCCATGACAGGTGACACTTGAAGCACTAGATTAAGCCACTGGAAGTTTCAACCCGCTCCTGCTGTGCTAATGTTGAGTTTCTCGGAGCAGGCTTCACTAATTCTGACTTGTTCACCTCAGCCACACTCTCTGTTCCCAGCTTGGGATTCGAAAGCCTTCTGCTGTTTTTCGATCTTAATGGCAGGTGTACTGCTTCTTGTAATTTGAAAAAAGACCTGAGCTTGATTTCGTTCTGAATTTCGCGATTGAGTCCATGAAGAAATCGCACAATAGTGGCCTTTGTATCCTCCCCAACGGCTTCTTCTACTCCGCGTGATCCTTGTCGAATTCCTTGAAAGTACTCGTGGAGTTCTCGCTAGTAATAGCTTGGGATGAATCCCTCCCTCATCAATCCTCGCAATTCAGCCCAAGTTTCTACCGGAGCTTGCAACTGCTACAACCATTGTGCAGCGTAGTCCGAGAACTCATAGGTAGCCATTGCCACCTTCTGCTGCTCTGTGAATTGCCCGCATTGGAAGAATAATATTATCTTCCTTTCCTAGACTAAGTACGACGCTGGTTTCAGAGTTCCCTGAAATTGAGAGACGACCAGTTTTATTCCGGGAGGAATTGCTGACTCTGTCTTAGGTGGTCTCCCTTGACGATCTCGTCGACGGCCTCCATGATCATGATCGGCTACGACTAGTTGCTGCTCTAACTCCTCAAGTTGGGCTATTAAATCCAATTTTCAACATTGATGTCGTCGTCCTGAGCATTCCCTTATGTTACGGTCGGAGACAAAACATCAAGTCTCTGGCCCTATTTCTCCAATTGGCGTACGATTTTGTCAAATTTAACCTGAAAAAGTGTTCCAATATGCTCCATCATGGTCTGCAAGAACTCAGTCATGTTAAACTAGCCTGCCATCGCAGTTTCGCCCTCCTGATTTTCCTCGTCAGATTCAGACTCTGACTCTGTTTCCTTTGGCTATCGAAGGTCAATTGGATCCTTCTTCCTCTTTCGCGCAGCAACAAGGAAAACGTATGTCCTTCGTCTTCCTAGCCACTGTGTAAAATCAAGGCTCTGATGACACTTAATAGGAGCACAGTTGTGCTTATTCGAACCAAAGTACATAGCTCAAACTAAATTGAAAAAAATTAGCACAAAAATGGACCAAATGTGCAAATTCTCACTTGGGAAGAGGCTCGATTGGTTTTGATCAAACCTCGGCCACGATTGATTCGATTTCAATCAACTAAAACCAACAACGCAAGGTTTGGGTGACAAGTCACAATTTTCATTCAACTAAAAACTGCCTTCTTACATGAGGCTTCCAAGCCTTTAAATAGACAAAGAACAACCCAATTCGACTTGTAAACAAACAAGGAATCAAATCTAAAATCTATTCTAACAAGTAAACACAAATCCAAACAAAAAAAGGAAATAAAACTCGGTTTCTTCAACCTCAAGATTCTGCCTGCCAGCGCAAGCAATCCATTCCAGCCTTTCTAGCCACTTTGAGGCTACTTTTCAAAGCCTTCCATAGAGATTCGATCCAAACAGGCTTTAGTCGTTTCTTCTTCCGGTCTCGAACTTCAAGTTCCAGCTCCCTTATTCCATCAACAATGCTCCATCTGCTTCGAACAAGCTTCCAAAGGTGGCAACTCAAACTGATTCCATACTTAGCAAAAATCAAGCAGATTTCCAGTTTCAACATAGCATTTGAGGCATCGAGAAAGTGGCTTCAATGGCTCGTTCCAACTCAACCAGGTCTTCAATCATGTAGAAAAACACTTGAAACTCAAATCCCAACCCTTCCCTTGTATTTCCATAAACTAGGATGTAAGATACAAACCTGTAAAGTAAGCACCATGATACAGTCCAAACACGTACATAACCAAATTCGACAGTTCTTCCTTCCAACATGGGTTGATACTTTGAAAGGGAATTGGTTTGAGGGTAAGGGTTGATTTGGGATCATATCATAGTGTATAGTACAATTCGAATTCAGTGGTATATATAGGATAGGATAACTTACGTACTTGTTGAAAATCATATTGTTTTGGATAAAATAACAAGCCGCTAAATAAAACTCACTGAAAGAGTGCTAACTAACAAGAAACCTGATACCAC